GTCAACATATTCTGTTACACCAAATACACAAAATAATGATCTTTAAAATAGCATCATATGACCCCTTTAAATAGCTTAGACTGTTACAATAATATATATATATATATATATATAATGAAATCCTCATTCAAATTAGTCAAAATATTTAAAGGGGGAAATTTATCATTTTAATCATAATAATAAAAAAAACATATATATAATAAAATCTGTGAGTCTTTCTGCTTAGTTTTGCGGCATATATTTCACATGTTCTAGCTTTGAAAAATATTGACCTTCCTTCCTTTTATAGTGCGTTTTATAAAATAAAAATTCCTAATTGGGCAACACATGTTCCTTTCATTATCCTGTCTCCTTGATATTAGTCAGGAGGAAAATGAGATATGCATTGTTTCAACTTCACATGTAGCAAATGCAATTCATTCCTCCCACTGATTTGACAATGGGGGGTTTGTCATTTTCACAAATGATATCAAGTGCACAGTGCCAGAGGAAATACCCCTCCTTCAAAACAGAGGAATATTTCCTTCATGAGGTTACTCATTTCAGTTAGTTCCGATTGAAAATGTTTTGTAGAATATTATTTATTTTTTATAAGTGCATTTTAGTATATATTTTGACTGACAGTCTGCACCTTTTATGTTTCAGGAAGCAGCAGTTGAGAGGAAGATCACTGACTCATTGTACCCTGGCAGCAGTGGAGGTTCATCCAGTGGCCTTTAATTTCAACTACACAACTAGAGACATTAAGCCCTGTCTGGATATACCATATACTTGCCCGAGGAGTTTTTTTGGACCTAATCTGAAACAAGCAAATAAACTATGCCACTGTGATGGTGGGTTAGAGATCATATCACTGGGCTTAAGCCACCCAGATAGCCTCGGTCAGTAATACAGGGATAAGGAATGAAAACTACAGAAACCATTTGTTTAAAATCCAAACATATGGACTGAGCACAATTAAGCCTTGCTTGAAAGTTTAGCGATTACAATAGCCGCAGTCAGAACATTTGGACAACCTTTCAGCTGAATGTGTTTTTTCATGTGCTAATGAAACGACAGGAAAGCACCAAGCACTCCCCTTCATCTTAACATTGTTGAAACATTTTGAGAGCAAGGGCTACATGTGCCTTTAAAGAAACAGTCTGCCTCGGGGAGATTGCGATAAACTCAAGGGGCATGTTTTGGTGACTTTGACTCAAAAAGAAAGACAAATATCTGGATAAGACATCGAAAACAGACGCAAATAGAACAGAGGACAGTTTGCCAGCTTTTGCCGCATTTGCACAAGAGCATATCCCAGTTGTGAAATTTTCTTGGCACTTTTCCATGGGAACTGATCCAGGGTGCATTGAGAAGTACCTCCAGGGAGGTCTTGTTAGAGTTTGAATAATATTGTGTGGATTGAAAGCAAAAGTACATTTCTCAGCTCATCTCTGGGCGGTAGCGCGTCTACTCCGAAGGATTACCGTGAAGAAAATGTCCAGCAAAATGTAGAGCTTTAGTTTAACTTTGATCCTGCTTTTGATCTTTGTTTCTTCAAAAGTCGGGAAGCATAAAACAGTCAGCGGATCCCGAAACCACCTCTTACAAGTCAAACTTACGCCCCAGCTGAGAAAAAGAAAGCTTTTGTCATACCCAGGCAAGTGTGCCGGCTAAAAGGGGGCTCAGCGAAAGAAGAGAGTCTCTTAAGCAAGGACGAAGTGAGGCGGGCTGGGATGGAGTGCAAGCATGAGCCTGCTAGAAGAGGGGACAGCTGGGGTGGGCCTACCACTACAACATCCTCCACCCTCAACAAGACAGGAGCAAACACGTCCCTGGAGAGGCACAGTACTAACAACTTGGAGAAGGATGACCACCACTGTGGGGTCAAAGCAAAGCCAGGCATGACGTCCTGCCAGATGGAGCGGAAAACAAGTAAATATTTTCTTCCAAATCTTGTTTACAGCTTTGAATCTGAAGAACATGATATTTTATAGCATATTACAGGCTGCTTTCTAAAAAAATAAATGAATGAATGCAAACACTGAGTTTATTTTTTGTTGTTATATAAGGGTTTCCCATACTGGGGTTTGTGATTTGATGAAAAGCTAATAATTAAAACATTGCGGAATTGCGTAAGTGCATAATTTAAATGGATAAGTGAGTCAGTTCAAATTTCGAGTTTTTAAAAGTATAAAGTTAAAAAGCTAATAATTAAAACAAACTAATAAAAATAACATTAATGCAATTAAAATAAAACACTTGCTAAGAAACATGCAATTGTATAAGTTTCCCTGGACGTCATGTGATCATAAACCAACATCAGGAAACTTGTTGTTATAATGTATGTAAATATTTTAGGTCAAAAGTTTCAACTGACAAAAACGTTTGGGAATACCTGTATTATATGATTAAAAAAAGAGATGATAAGGTGCGATGACAGACATGAAACTAGCAAAACTATGTAGGAAATTGGTTGCAATGGTTGCAAATTGGGACAATGGTTAATTATTTACATTTACATTTAATAATTTAGCAGACGCTTTTATCCAAAGCGACTTACAAATGAGGAGAACAATAGAAGCAATCAGACGAACAAGAGAGCAACAGTACAAGTGCTGTGACAAGTCTCAGTTAGTCTAGCACAGTACACATAGCTAGGGTTTTTTTTTTAATAGAATGGAATAGAATAGAATAGAATAGATTAGGTAAGTGCTATACAGTTTAGTGTCATTATACAGTGTCTAATTACTGCAAAGACTGCAGAATGTTGTGATTAACCAATCAGAGTTGTGTTCAATAGTGTCATGTAATAAATTTAAATAGAAACATGAGTCAAGACAAATTTATTCTTTAAAAGTTGAATGCTTTTACAGACAGAGAGACATAAGAACCATCAGATTGATAGACTGATGTAGCTGCTATCCCCTAACTGTTTAGACATCAGTTCTTACTAAACCCTCAGTGACACATTTGTTTCCTCACAGACACAGATGAGCCGTACAGTAATAGCTCTTCAGTTCATATACCCACTGACCATAATGCTCAAGCTGTGGGTAATGTTATCTGGAAAAAATGCATAATAAGGTTTGCAGATGACCAGGCACCCATTGCAAGTGCAGTAAGCGACAGTTCACACCAGTGACTGTGCGACAGAGGGGTTTTACAGCCCTGCTGATGAGAATTCAGACCCATTTCAGATGGTCCAAAACTGTTTTTGCAGAATTTATGAGGTTGCTGTGGTGTTGTAACAGCTTTGGAGTGTGTAAAATGGCGAGAGAGGAGGATGTGGAAAGGCTGAGATGGAACAGCTACCATACCATTCCTAGGAAGAGACGCTGAAGTAAATGTCAGCATTTTCTCTCTTTTTCTTTCATTCTCTCTCTCCTTGTATGGGATTGATGTCTCCACACAGCAGCATGATTTGATGAGATGCAGAATGTTATGCTTTTCTTTCTTGCATTTCCAGATGCTGATAGCATGAAATCGGAAAATGATACAGTGTGGTCCGAAAGTTTGAGAGCAGTTTTTTTTCTAATGTTTTAAAATTAGTACAATTTTAAATAATAATAATAATAATAATAATAATAATAATAATAACAATAATAATAACAATAATAATAATAATAACAATAAACAGTAGTAAGAAATTTTAATTCTACACCGTTTTTTAGGTCATTAATCAAATTTTGCAATTTTTTGAGGTTGAACCTAAACTCTTTTGTACAATACAACAGTCAGCACCAGAGATCATGACCATCAGCTTTTACACATACTTGTATAGTTTTAGTGCTGCTGTCATTGAAACAAAAGAGGACTTAGACATTCAAAAAGTACTAAGACTTTCTGAAATTGATGTAATGGTAACTCATTAACTTTTCGCTTGGAATTGTTTTGCTAATAATATCATTTGTAGTAAATCTCTTATTGCCACTGTATATGACAAATGCATTAATTTCCATGTTCATAACTTATGATTTAGAGCTGCAGGTCATATGTTTAGATACCTTTTACAGAAAATGTTAATAATTAAAAAAGTGATTCCTTGTATCCCTTTAATGATGAATTATTCATTCACTTATTTTTTAAACCAAATTTTTTTTTTTACAAAGCATGTAAAGAGTTCACACAATGTACACAAAAGTTTGAACAAACCAAAACCGCAAAAACAACAATAAATAAAGAATTAATGCTGGATGGGATCCTACACAAAGTAATACAATTCAGTGAGGAAGTATTAAACAGCCTGTCTAAAGCCAGATACAGTGCAGAAAAAAGGACTTATATACCCCACACCTTTTCTGTAAACTGACTCATTTGGAGTCTTAAACTGTGTTATCTTTTCCATCACATCATTTTTCATCTAGCAGCTTCTGCAAATTTATGGCCACAGCTGTAGGTTTTATAATAATATAGCAGGTCAATTACAAGGCATTTCTCAGCATCAGAACTGATCTGTATATGCTATTCTGTGAATGTTGTCCTACTTGAGAATGAGGTAGCAGAGTAAGAAGGGTCTCCTAGTACAGGTTTTGTGGACAGTGATGTGTAATTGCACATTCATGGTTTGAAAGTTCTCAAACCTCTCTGATCTCATCACTTCCACATTTCCCAGAGGAAAACTGTCACTTTATCCCATCTTCCCAGTGAACCATAACATCCGACAGGGGAATCTGACCTTTGATATACAACCCAAGGCCTGCCAGGTCCCCAAATCCTCAAGCTGTGAGGGAGTTTCCCTCATCTGTCCAAACTGAGAGCCCACATATCGTACACAGCTCGATGCCAAGGACATGGGAACATTATTTATGTCCCTGAATTCCTACCACTACTTCTTGGTTTGAGGAAGATCCTGTCTTTCCCTTCATGTTAATGAGAAGTTAAGCATGAGTGTTATGATTCAGGTAGGATGGATCAGCTAAGCAAGCAAACCTCTGCGGCCTAAACTGAACTCCACCCTTGAGGCTCAGGTGTCCATCCAACCAAGCGAGCGTATTTGCCGGATGACTCTCCCCGCTGACACCCAATCCTCTGAAAGAGCTGACACACTGATTCTGTTAATGAGAAGTTAAGCATGAGTGTTATAATTCAGGTAGGATGGATCAGCTAAGCAAGCAAACCTCTGCGGCCTAAACTGAACTCCACCCTTGAGGCTCAGGTGTCCATCCAACCAAGTGAGCGTATTTGCCGGATGACTCTCCCCGCTGACACCCAATCCTCTGAAAGAGCTGACACACTGATTCTATACATGACACTGATGAAATGTGGCCACTTAATTTGGCGTGAAACAGAATGTGCGAACTTACAGAATCTGTACGTGATTATTTAAGTACATCCAAGGCCGTAGAAGTCATAAATTTGAATCGTTCCTACATCCATGATCTCTGGTAATGAACAACGGTTACGCAAAAGGATAGTTCATTGACAAAATGAAAATGTTTTCATTATTTGCTCACGCTCATGTAGTTTGAAACCCACATGATTTTCTTCTGTAGAACACAAATAGAGATGTTTGGCTGAAAGTCAGGAACTGACAGCCTCAGTCACCATTCTCTTTCATTGCATATTTTTTCCCATTAAATGAAAGTGACTGAGGCCATCATTCTGCTTCTACTTTAGTGTTCCACATCAGAAAGAAATGGGTTTCAGGGTCATAGAGGTTTGGAACATGAGGGTGATATATAATTTAATATATACTTAAGAGGGTTGAACTACAGCTTTAAAAACAACCTACAAAACCACTACTAGAGAAAACATGTGTCTAATTGGACTTCTGGCTCAAAACCTCATAGTTTCTGATTTCTGACTGTCCCTTGTGACAACCTTCCCGCGTGACAGCTATAGCCCCGCTCTCCAGATCTATTCTGTATCCTGGTTCTTCGCTGTTGAATTTGGAGTGTACCAAACGTCTGCCAGGAACATTGCACAGCATAGCCATCCTTTAAAAAAAGCAAAAAGGAAGCGCAAACCTCGTCCAGTGCCCCAGCCTGCCCGCCTCATACTCGATGAGCATTTGGAGCGCGCGAGAGATCATCATTCGCAACGACACGAAATCCGATCCAGGCTCGCGCTGCTAAAGGGGGAGTGGAGGAAACACATGAAGTTAAATTAGAAAAGCTCGAGAAGCAGCAACAAAAGAGACTGTATGCAGAGTTAATTAAGGTAAGAGAAGTTTAGTTTGACACGGTGCTTCTGAAACTTAAAAAAAAAAAAAGCTTAGATTTGTGAAAGGCATGTGCTGAAATCATGTTTAAGTTCTGAGGTTTGATGACATAGATCGTTTAAATTATATAATGTGATGCATCTTCTTTAAAGCGAGAAGAGAGCAATATTTTACAGTGAATGCATGCTGCTTTAAAAGACAATGCAGACTGGTTGCCACTTTGGGTTGTCTTTAGGCATAAACAGACAATAGGCTTTTTTGAATGAATAGAACAACTTTGTTTTGAAGTTAAAGTGACAAATTGCTCTTTGTGGATTTCAGACATAATGTTTTTAAAGTTATTTTTTGTTTAAACTAAAAAAAATGTGTATAATCTAAACTGTGCTTCATGTGGTAACATCTAAATTAAGTGGTTTCATTCTAGAAAAAAAAAATTTATGTGACCTAATTAACCTAGGTATTTTTTTGCACATTACCATATTTTGTAGTGTATTTATCTATTTTAAAAGTAGAAAGCAGTCAGTGAGTAAAGTCATAACTGTATTAAATGAACTTGTATTTAGGTCTGGCTCTGATATGACATGGGGACATTTATAAGAATAAGGAAGAAATTAAAACTGCAAATTTTTGAAAGTACTTGAAACTACTTTGGTTGGTGGGAAATCATGCACATTAAATTAAAAGAAAAGAAAGAAAAATTAAGAGAAAAGCTGCATGTGTTTTTATAATTATCAGATTTTGCTCCAGGTTTATAAAAGAAAATCTTTTTAAACACCGTAAAGATGAATGTCTCTAAAGAAGGAAAATGGAAAGCTTTTTATCACAGTGCTAGAGGTTGTGTTGCATGGCCTGACTAAATAAAGAGGCATTTTTGCTGGTGGAATGAAAGGCAGATGCACATTATTCATGCTCTATTATAATTTTATGCCATGTGATATAAAAGCTCCTTTGAGTCTGGCAAACTTGCACATAAAACAAACGGGATAGATTTAGAACTCTTGCTTTTTTTTACTACTTTTTTTAACTCCCATTGTGGCTCTGGCAAGACAAAGACCTACCTGCTTGGATAGAGAAAAAACACTCAACAAATTGTTTTCAGGTTTGCTGCCAAGTCTGAGGTTGAAGATAAAAGCAAAGAACTACCTCAGGGAAACCTGGAGTGGTTAATTATTCAAAGGTCTATTAGGGAAACAGATTGTGTTTATGTTGTACAGGTTAACCACACTTACATTAAGAGAGTCAAGCCGTTCAGCCAGTGATGTAATTGTAAGCAGTCTGTTCCTCAGGATGTAATGTTCTGGTATAAGATGTTGAGGGTTTGTGTTTTAAAAGTTGTGTTCCTTTCCTGAGGCAGTCATTCTTTTGTAGGCAGGATTTTCAAACACACTTGTTTTATTTACTGAAACTTTGATGCCACAGTATGTCACTGTAGGTCAAAGTTTAAGCATTTAAATGTAGAGTTGTCTCGTAAGTGATGATGGAAAGGCATGAACCTGTCGGCATATAAACCAATGGCTCCTGTGCCTCAGAGAGATTTCTCAAGGCATGCTGCAGTCTCAAGCAGGGAATTTTCTCGGCAGTTGAGGAATGCTAAGGGAGGGACTAGAGCCCACGGTGAAGGAAATACTTTCTGCAGCTAGGAATGGGGCTTTTTTGCCCAGTCAATAAACCTTTGCCATTTTCAACAAATACATAACTGTTTTAACATCCATCTTTGCCAACCTATGGGTAGAACTGCAAATATCAGCATTAAGATTTATTTACAGGAGGTTTTTAGAACTATAAATGTGTGAAAGCATTGTACGGTCTACAAAAGTTTGCCCGCAGGCTCTGTGAATCACAGCAAACTGTGAAAAGAATAATTTTGACCACAAATCCTTGAACTTTATATGACAGCATTTCTTTTATAAGTCTGTGCGCAAAAAGGACGACAAACTAATATGATTCATCTTTTTAACAGGGTGACTCATGAAAGCTAGAATTACTTGAAAGACATATAATACTCTTGACTTTTAAAATAATTATGATTGAGACGGCAATGGTGAGATCATGAAATAAAATACAAAGCAGGCTAATATTTGCCAAAACCTGTCCAATTATTCTGTCTAATAAAAAAGGCATGTGATATTATATACAGCACCCTTTGTTTGTTAGGCTGAAACAATTAAGTGCATTTAAAATATTGTGAATACTTGGTGGGTTGTGCTAAATTCTACAATTATAACCTGGGTCGAGCAATACTTTGCTTTGTGAACTGAAAAGCACTGCAAATGGCATAGCTCTGAATGTGTTATATAATTTACATTTTCTCTTGAGTTGATTGGTGTGTTTTTCTACCATTACAGACCTCAGCAGAAGTGCCAGTTTGTCAGAGAAGGAGCTGAAGGAGGCACGGACCAAGAGTCAGATCATTGCTGCTCAGCTCCAGGCCAATTCCAACTCTAAAGGCGTCCAACTTTTCAACCGGCGCAGACAGAGAGTGAACGCTTTCACACTTGTAAGCGTCAGAGGAGGGGGAGTGGAGGCATCCAAGAATGTAATTGATTCATCTTTTGAAAGTCCACGGACATGGAACAAACATCACTTGACTGAGGACCAGGACAAAGAGTTGAATCGTAAGAACCTCACGTGGATGGCCGACAGAATCCGCAGTACTGGGAGTGACATGGAAGATGCTAGTGAGGTTACACGGGAGGATGTAGCAGAAGAAAGCGGCCAAGACATACACTTTCTCCCTGTCAATGAGAAGGATGAGGAGCTCTCAGAAGACCTCACGGAGCATGTGAAGGAAGAGGTTACTCTTAGAAGTGATAATACCCCTGCTGTTATGGACAGAACTGGTCAAGATGAAGCTGAAGGCAATGGAGCACACAATAAAGAAATCCCAAATGGATACAGTGCACAATGCAATGGAAAAGCAGGTAAGACAGTGACTAAACAGCCCACCATCATGAACAGAACAGCTCGCCCATTTTTCTCCCCGACAACAGTAGGATCCTCTGAAGCTACAAGTCCAGTCATGGACATCCCTTCAGCCCCATCTGATGACTCTACAACACACTTTGAACCTTCAACTTACCCAGTGCACCCAAGACCTGTTTTCTCTCCACCACTACCTCCACCTTCATATCCAATGCCTCCTCTGCCCAGCTACTCCAGCCCTCCTCCACCTAACACAGCCCATGCTCCCTCACCTCAGCCTTCTTCTTACATCCGCCCATATGCCCCCAGGCCTACATTTGTCCCTAACCTTATGAGTGAGAAGAGATCTGTAACTCCCATCAGATCGGGCATCCTTGACGAGGGCCAGGCTCGCAGAGCAACCCGCAAGTCGATGTTCACATTTCAGGAGAAGCCAAAAGTGGCTCCGAATCCCGAACTCCTGTCCTTGGTGCAGTGTGCAGATGGAAAGAAGAAAAAACCCCAGCCAGATGCAGGGCAGGAAGAGGAGCTGCTGTCTCTCGGGGCTGAAGCCTCAAACTTCCTGGCCAAGGACGAGGATATTCATGAGGAAGCTGCGGTGCCAGAGTGGGCCTCGAGTTTGAAAAGCTCCAGGACACGTGCCAGGATAGAGCACAAGCCTGAGCAAGCCCTGACCAATGCTTCAGGAAAAGGAGCCGAACTGTTTGCCAAACGCCAGTCGAGGATGGAAAGGTATGTCCATGACAGCAAGGACCCGAGATCTCCCTCTCCTACCATGTCCTTGCCTCCTTCGTGGGTGTATCCATCCAACATGCCCGGTCGAGTAAAGGCCATAGTAAACTCCTCCAATATAAGTACACAAATTTCAAAAACACTTCAAGCTCAGCAGGCAACTCAGAAAAAGACTGTCCCTGCCAAAACGCCAGCACCTGTTCCGGCTCCAGAAATACCCTTGGAGAATGGCTGCACTAAAATCGAGATGGAGCTGTCCAAACATCAGCCATACCAGCTCAACTCATCCCTCTTTATCTTCAACCCAATGAAAGATCCCTACAGCACTCTTCCCAGAGCCGCCCCGGCTCCTAAATCTGTCGTGACAGCTCACTCCTACTCCAGACAATCATCCCTTCCAACAAGCCCATTGCCATCACACTACAGCCCGTCTGCCACCTATCGGTCAGCCCATTGCTTTTCGCCTCCTATGACGCTCAGTCCCATCAAAGCAGGCAGTGTCAGTTCCCCAGTATCACCTTTAGCTCCAGATCGTGTGGCTTCACCTCGCTCTGGCGTCCAAGCTCCACGTCCCACATTCTCCACCAAAAAAGCTGGTATCAGCCCACAGGTGTGGAAACCCTCTTCATTCTTTTAAACCTTTCAATTTCTGCTCTTCTTTGCTTTATGTACTCTTCAGACCAAAGTATAATGGAAGTAAAGTAAAAGGGACACATATCAGACTGACTGTCCACTTAGAAGTAGCAAGAGAGCAGTAAGGTTCTAAAAAGTAGCTACAGGAAACATGAAATCTAGCACTCTTGGTCAGGCCTGTTTGTTTATTGTTTTTTTTGTTTTTTTTAGTTTTGCAAGTGGAAGCAATAAATGTCAGGTCCTACATTTGCCTGTAAAACTGACTTAAATTGTAATTCATAAACTGGCCACCAGAGGGCCATAAATTGAACCTTATTTATTTTTCAATTAAGACATTGTAATTTAATACAGCTTTGAGTTTCAGAACTACAGTTTATTCATTTTTGTGCTGATGCCAGATATATTTTAGGTACAAAACCAGTGTGTCATTTTCCAACGCTTGCCTCCAAGTTTTCAGGTTGGAGTTGGTACAAGCTCATAAGCAGTTTAGCAGATGGTGTTTTGCATTTTATGATGTACGAAATACAATTTAATATGAGTAGGATGGTATGAGAGCCTCTTCCTATTATGACACATGTACTAATTCTTTATCTTAATTAGTTCTGTGTGCTTTTCTTTGATTTATAGTTCCAGTTTAAAACTTGCATATTGCACACAACAGTATGTACTTAATGTAGTGTGCATAAACTCCTGTATGTGCTACTGCAGGGATCTGATTAAACAAAGCCATAATTGAGTTTAATGAAGTCATTCTGGATTCTTCTCTTTCAAATGATTTTGTCTACTCTGTTTCATTAAAGCAATGAAACACTCAGTTTCTTTTCTGTCTCTGGTTTTCATACTTTATTATCTTCTTCTGTTGACTAATTTGCTGAATTTCCTGTGTGGATTTCTTCATCTATTTTCAGCATCCCCTCTAATCAGTTGTTTCAGTTTTTGTTAGTGTCTATCCTAATCTTCAGCGATAAGGATCCCAGGCCGGCTTTCCGGAGTCGTTTTTATCTATACACTTGTACCAACTAAACAAAAATATGCATATCAGAGCCACCCGCCGCGTGGTGCTCTGACCCAAAATGAAATTAGAAACTTTTTTGTTTTTAATGCTGACTAAATATGTATGTGCCCCGCACATTCCTGGCCTGCCCCCTGAAAACGCACATCTGAGCCAAAACAGGCCCCTGTGGGCTTGAGCTTTAGGCTAGCGGCCTGACCTCTGGCCTCCCTCATGCTTGGAAAAACACATTTGCTGGAGGTGAAAACATACCCAGCAGTCTCAGCAGTGCAAATGCATATCTCAGTAAAGGTTAGTGGTCTTGGCAGCGTGTATGCAAGCGATCTGAAGATGGCATGATACCCTGGTGTGCTGGGAAACTACTCAGATATTGGACACTAATAAACAGCTCGATGTAATCACAGGGTGTATGAGAAGGCCTGATATCGATAACATCACATCTGAAGCTGCATGCAGTGCTGCAGGAGATGTTTCAGTGGCGTGTTTAAAGGCTAATCTTAACCAAACGTGTGCACAGTACCTGGCATGAACTTGGAAAGCTTGGATTTTTGAATGGTTATTGGATCTTTGGATCCAGGATTGTTCTGCTACTCTTGTACCTCAAGTGTGATTATAAATGTGTTCCTGTGCATTCCTCACTGTCTACATTTATAACAAACGTTGCCTAAAAAAATTAATCATAACAAGTTATACAGGGCTCAACAATAAGGATGGTGTGCTGGCCCAGTGTGAGTTTTGGTCTAGGTGACTGAACTGTCACATGTCCTATTGGATCAACGCCATATATATATATATATATATATATATGCTTTATACAGAACAGATTGTTTTAAAGCAGCTTCACAGTAATAAACAAGAACAGAATCAATGATGCAAACTTCCAACCTGGGACAAATTAAAATTCTGCTGTAAAACAGTTCTAAAACAATAGTGTTAGACAAAAATATATACTGTACTAATAAATGTTAAAAAGTTATTTTTTAAATATTATAAAATAAAATATTTAAAAATTATAAAGCATCAAAATGTTTCTATTAAATAAAATATAATTTTAAAATAAATATTAACTTAAGTCACACATTTTAAATACAAACTTTTAAATAAAAATTATATAAACTGATAAATTACAATTGATTTCTGTTGAGGTCAGTAAGAATGTTGGCAAAGCTAATAGAAATTCGAAGTATGGCAAACAGAAAAATCCTTAATGTTGAGCCCTGTTATTATTCAGCGTGTGTGTTTGTGAGTGTATTTAGTGATATAGAGACACTAAATTAAAGTGATGTCTCACCTCTAAAAGTAATCTTTTCTTATCTTTTGTCTTATCAGATTAAGGAGGAGACCCCGGCACCATTCAATAGCCCCGGCTCCACCACCCCAACCTCCAGGACGCCCAACCTCACTAGACGCTTCACCAGCCCTGAGATGCTTTCTAGCACTGTCTGGTCCCCCAGAAGCCCTCTAGTGACCTCTACATCATCCAGCCCAATCTACAAGCCCACACCCATCTCCCCCTCACCCCGGCCCATCCATAAACCCGTCACGACATGCCCTTCCCCAAGCCCTATCCGCAAGCACATTGCAGCCACTGCATCTCCAGGTACCATCTTCAAGCCAACCGCCACCTCTCCTGTATCTCCACACTGGGAAACCAGGTGCCAGTCCCCAGCTGTCAGCCAGGACACCAAAGCCAACCACCGCATTTTGGCCAAAAACATCATCAATGCTGCCAAGCGGAAAAACAGTCCGTCTCCTGGGGCACCGAGCAGCCGCAGTCTGCCCATCTCCCCAGTGAACAGCGGGATCGTGCCTTACGAACACAAACCAGTCAGTCCATTTCAGCCACGGATGCTGGGGGCTCAATCGCCCACCCTTACCAGTCCCTCTCCCACCCGCATGATCCACTCTCCAGTGCAGTTGTACAACGCCCGCTCGCTGACTGACTCTGATGCCTCGGTCGAGTCTGAGGATTCAGGTCTGCGCTCTCCTGGAGTGCGCAGCTATAATACCTGCCCCCGTGGCTGGACCGGCAGTCTGCAGGTGAAGAGGGGAGGCGTGCCCGAAGATCTGTAGGAAGCATTTAGGGATGATTTATACTTCAGCCTGATTTCGTTGTAGACCAAAATGTCCCTTAAATATTGAATGTAAAGCATTGTGGATTTTTCAGTACATTGCATACAGTACAGTATGTTACTATGTTGACTCTGTGATGGACTCTGTTCATGTTAAAGAAATACATTGTCGTTCAAAAGTTTGGGTCAGTAAGTTTTTTTTTTCTCCGCAAGGACGCATTAAAATGTTTAAAGTGAGAAAAAGGGTTTTTTTATAGTTAAAAAAAATCCAGTAAATAAAATCTAATAAATGGTGTTCTTTTCTATTCATCAAAGAATTTTTAAAAACATGTATCATAGTTTCCACAAAAATATTAAGAAGCATAACTGTTTTCAAAATTGATAATAAAAAGGAATGTTTCTTAAGCACCAAATCAGCATATCAGAATGATTTCTGAAGCATCATGTGACACTGATGACTGAAGTAATGGCTGCTGAAAATTCAGCTTTGCTGTCACAGGAATAAATTACATTTTAAAATTTATATTAAAATATAAAAGTTATTTAAAATATTATTTAATATTTTTGATTAAATGCAGCCTTAGTGAGCTTCTTTCAAAAACATTAAAAATCTTACTAACCCCAAATTTGTTGAACGGTAATGTAGTTGATAATTGAAAAAAAAGAAAAGAAAATGCTGTCATTTACTCACCTCACATGTTTACTCAAACCAGTATGACTGACTTTCTATCATGGAACACAAAATGAGATGAATGTTTACATTTTCAAACAAAAGTAAATGAGGCTGATGCTGAAATATAACTAATACGTGACTATTATGTTGTTGTTGTTGTTGGAGCGTGACCGCATCTGTAAAGAAAGATTTTATCAAGGTCATATGATCTTGCAACAACATGAGGGTGAATAAATGAAGACTACATTTTCATTTTAAAGTGAACTGTTCCTGTAAAGTTACATCTTGGTCTCATCTCTGCAGCTGTCTGTAATCTAATGAAGAAGGCATTACATGGACTCAGAAAGGTGTACCAAAGATAAAAAAGTAATGTGCAAGACTTTTCAAAGCAGTATTAGTTATTAACCTCATTTTTTTAATCTACATAAATATAAAAGGGATTGTCCCTTTTGCTTTTTTTGTACAGTATGTTCTGACAATGTCACAATATTCGTAGGTCCGACTTGAGTCAAACTTGGAAGGAACTGACTGCTTATTGCTGATTGTGAGTTAATTTAGATGTAAAGACAGAATGACACAGCAAGGTTTTATGGTATGAGAAGGAATGGTAGGAAATTCTCTACATTACGTATAATATAAATGGAAGCTGCTGGTGATTTGAAATCCAATTTCCATATTAGTTTAGTGCTGACATACATGAGGGAAATAAAATGGTCTGATGCACAATGGGAGAAGTGAAAAAATAAAGCATTAGGAGGTTTGGGCAGTGATTTCACTTAAAATGTAGGAAAGATTGAATTTCAGTGTTCATTAATGCACCTTGCTTAGATGGCTATTAGTTATATTTCCAAAGAGGGCAAAAACAGGAGAAGAGATAATTCTGGCTGAGCTTATATATAAGTTAAACTTCACATAGCATTTCAGTTTATCACGTAAAAGGGACTGAAGTAATTCTGGGTTTAAGGTGACTGACAGCTCTGTTGGTAGAGTAAGGTGAGATAATTGCTTTTTTACACATTCACACAAATAAATATATTTCATGGGGCACTTGTAAGTTTTATCATTTATTTAAACCACCTCTGACACTGTCAGACTGTCTACAGCATACATTTACACTTGACTGGGAAATTTCTGACAGTACACACTATACTGTGTGGTAAATGGTAATTCACACTACTTAATACCGAATGTTTGTCTGTCGTAGTTCTGAAATTACATATTGAAATCTGTCTGAGCTGATCACTAGCACTCATTTAAGGATTGAGTCTCAAGGGTCATGCATACCAAGTGTAGTCATGTTAGCCTGTGCTCAAATATTGGATCACCACACATGAGAAAATCATTCTCTGTGTTGGTGCATCAGCAGATTTTTGAGTATTTGCATAGGGGAATTTTGATTGACAGGGACATCAGCTGTAAAGTGACTCTGCACCTTTGGTGAGAAAAATGTTATCACTTTCACGGATGCTTTACAGCCCCTGTGTACTTGTGTGATCCTTCATTTGCATTATGCTTGATTCAACTTACATATATGATTTCTTTGAGTTTTGACATCATGTCTGAATAACCAGCCATCCTCAATATTATCTCTGTCTGTTCAGTTCTGTTTTTAAATTAAGTGAATAAACACAAATAAACAATGTCATCTTCTTGGGTAGGTTTTTAGAAGGTTTTCATTTCTTGATACATTTTGATGCTGAAAGCACAAACTGTAAGTTTATTCATTACAAATGCACACAGTTTTACCTCCCTATAACTGATTTCCTCACTATTTTAGAAAAACGCACATTATTATAACCAGATACTTTATTATAGTGTGATTATAGGAAAGCGATGTAGTTTATATTCTGACCTCTTTTACTGATACATGGGAGAAATATTTTACATCAAAAATGTAGGATATTATTATTGTTATTATTATTACTACTACTACTATTTTCCCCACAACTCAGAATTGGACAGTATAGACAAAGTCTTAAAAATAATTTAATCTAGTCTGTGAATTGCATTCATACACTAGAATTAAGTAAAAATTATTTAATCAAAAAAGTTGTGATGTTTCTTGAAGAGATACAGGCAGCAAAGACCACACACAGATGCCTGGTCAATACCGCCACCTATAGGACCAAAATGGTAAACTGGTTTCATCACTACTGTATCCATCGCTGCAGACTCAGGATATGAGCTCAAAAGAATGTCAAATATTAATTATACAAATACAAATATAAATTAGTCATTATTATATGAAATAATTTGGGGGGGGAAATCGGTAACGACCACATGTGTGCAGACATTATATACACTGTGTGTTTTAGTATTCAAATTATGCAAACCTTTTTAAGGCTCAAAAGTAGTTAATTATTACATTATTAATTTTGGATTATTTCATCAGTACCGCCAACATGGTCCCCAGTGACGTCAAGGAGCAGTTTGTTCTTTTGTAAACAGCCTTTTCATGATAAGAGAATAAAAATGAGAAATAAAATGGATTGTCCATGAGCTACTATGAGCTCTCAGATGCATGTTTATTTCCTGTTTAGAACATTGGCTCATGTTAACAGGGTAACATACTTCACATTCTCCAGAGAGACCATCAGTGCTGCATAGATACTGCATAGAAAGAACAGCTCCAATGGCAGCAATAAGCGACGATGAATAACAAAAACAACCGGAAGTGACAAAATAAAATAACCCCTCAGCTGTCTGTAAATTGTAATTATTTTACATGATTTAACGGCATGGTTGTCAGCATTTACCATAGTGCCAAAGTATACAGTTACAGCAGTGTAACGGACAATAAAACCGACAAAGTAAATACAGAAATATAGAAAATGAAGGGTAAATCAAAAGGAAAGGAACAAAGTAAAAAAAAAATAATTATATGAATTTTAATGAATTTACATAGAAGATAAGAAATATGCAAAATGTAGTCTCTTGTTGCAGGGTGTGAAAAGGTTGGGGTGGTAGTAATAATAATACACAAAATAATAATAATATACTATGGTAATAATATGCTAAACTCAATAGTAATTATATATAATTTGATATTTATATTTATAGGTAGGCCTATATAAACAAGTGTTTACAAATTCATTAGGAGTTGGTGTTTGGAAAAGCACTGTTTACTCAAGACGACCTAAACAGATCTCAGAAATACTTTAAAAAGGTGAAAGACGTTGTATATTTGTGCAAGACATTGTTTATTTCACACTGACTTGTTGGTGAAATAAATCAATAATTCATGGATACTGGCGCTGACAGGACTTTTATTATGACAGCTTGTTCAGTTGACAGTGAGCTCGTGTCGCGCTTCTCTGTTCTTGCTGGGTTGTTAGATTGCTGTGGATTGTTTTCCTCGGGACATTCACAACTAGGGTAAAATATCAAGCACATCTCATGACACCAACCCAAAGCGTTCGGGGTTTATCAGGGGGGACCCGGAACATTAATCTCCCCATCCATTTAACTCCTCACCCGTTGTTTATATGTTGAAAAACTGATGAATAGATTAAGCTCAGTGGAAAAAGCGCTTGTTGATGGTGCATTGTTGTGGTTTGCGATGTATTGCTGGTTCGCAGCCTCTTCGGCTAAAATATAGATGCATGAATCGCTTTCGAGTCGTATTTTTGGCGATCCGTTTAGTTTTTCGCAGCTGATCATTGAATCAACACAACAGCGTTAGCTGGCCTGAACAAAATGAGCAGAAAACAGCATAATTTTAAAGGAGCAGAGGTCAGCTGCTGTGTTAAATACTTCTTGTTCGGATTCAACATCACATTTTGGGTAAGTTTTGTGGATATGCAGTTCATTTGCTTTTTAATGTTTCTCTCAAACTCATATAAATTGCCTTCATAATGTTTCCATCATCTAAACAAATCGGGATTGCAAAACAAGTTCAGC